ACAGAAAACTGGAGCACAGGGAGGGCTTAAGGGAAGCTTGCACCTTCCCATCACTTGTCTAAATTTATGTGAACCTCTTCATACTGCCAGCTTCCTCATCTCCCAGCACTGGAAGCTACTTATGCTGCGGATGAAGAAGTAGCACAGTTTGCTTTAAATACGAGGTGTGATCATTTCCATGACAGTCAAACATCTGGACTCTGCAAAAAAATCATGTTATTCCTTGTCCAACCTTATCAAGGATCTCTACACTTTTATCACATCCAAGCTGTCCCTTTCCAATACTATAGAGAAAAGAATTAATCTGTGCTCGCACAAAAGCTACTCACAGAATCACAGAATCACCAAGGTTGGTAGAGATCTCCAAGATCAACCATCCACCTACCACCAATATTTCCACACTAAACCGTGTCCCTTAGCATCACATCCAAACATTTCCTGAACACTTCCAGGATGGTGACTCGAGAAGAAAGGGAAATTTTCTAGTTCATGTCTTCCAATGTGTTTGAGTTCCACTGTGTTACTTGGTGAGCAACCTGGTGAGACAAGACTACATTTCTGCAAATACCCTACAGAGATTTTATGATGTTCTCATATCACCTCAACTCCCAATGCATTCCTTCTTTTTTTTGTTTGGCTGTCATAGAAAACGAGAGTGATATTTTCAGAGAATTAGTAGTAATGGTGCCAGAATTTCTCCCATTTTACATAACAGCATATCTAAAGCCCATCGCTTGGTTAGAATAGTTGAGACACTTTTTTCATCCTAAATAATGCTTTGCTTTATTAACACTGCATTTCACCTCCCATTTATTGAATTTGTTTGACTACACAACTTTCATAGTGTAGAGCCTCTACTTGAGTAGGTCATTTAAACTGTCTTGTTAGTAAAGGAGAGAACAGCATTTTAAGAGATTATTTATCTCATCCTAAGGTAGACATGGGATGCAAGTCAAATGAATTACAATCTTTTTCTTTTTTCTTTCTTTTTTTTTGTTTGAGCATGAAAGGTGCCTAAAAGTAAATACGTCCATAGAATGTAAATGAAGATAAGCAAGACAGATCGTTACATTGAGAATATCAAGGATCCAAGAAATAGGAGTCAAAGCCAGTCAGCCAAAGCAAAAAGATAGGAACTGCCTATCAGCAATTCACCCCATCCTTCCATTTGGCAGGATCACAAGTGCACACTGTCTGCCATCTGCACAGGTGTGGGAAGCACCTGCCCTCAGATCTGACTGCTCTAAGGAAGGTGCTCCATCACCTAAAAGCTTTGAGGCTCCGTGATCCTGCAACCCCTTTTCAGATCAGTTCTTGATGGGCTGAACAGCACTTGGTCCTCCGCTTTCATTTGACACAACGCCTCATTCAGCGCTCTGTCTTTTAAGCCACCATAAATGCTTCCTCACCATGAAAAATAAAGTATTATTTTTTCCTTCCAATTATGTTTTAGACTGAACGCTCAAGAAAATATTCATGGAGTGGAAAATATTAGGAAGACTATTGCTGTCAGAAAGAAACATTTCAATATCCATTAATTAAAATGCCCATCTTCTTTTTGTTGAACCAAGCGCACATCTTTGTTCAGTTTTGGTTGGAAACATCTCTGCCTCTTAAACAATACTGTTTTATGATAACCGTGGTTTAATACAATTTTGTCATTAACCTTCCATTTTCTTATAAGAATGCCAATTAATTACAGAAGAGCAATTTACCAAGGACCTTGATTACCAACACTGAAGGGACAAACCGAAGCATTTCATCTTGATTCGAGAAATCTGAAATATGCCAATTTCAAAACAAAAATGAAATGAAGGATCTGGCATTTCCATTTGAATGTGCCTGCAAAAATAGGGAAAATCACAACTTGGCATTTCTTATTTTTTTAGAAATGTTTTTTCTCTTGAAAGGCTGAAATGAAAAACGTCCCAGAAAGATCAACTGCTGGGTGAAAATTCCATTACTTAAACCAACTCTACTTGTCTTCAAATATTCATCCAGAGCTATGCCAAGTATGTAAATAGTTACTCACAATGCCTGTAACACTCACTAAATGGTACATATTTTTGGATGATATGGGCAGAGTTATCTGTCTCAATACTTGCAGTATCCAAAGAGAAGTACTATGACACAGCTATTCAAATCTATTACTGCAGATTACGTAAGTGAAGCTTGGTTTGCACTTCTAAATAAGTCTGACACAAAGGCTGCAGACACATTCCACTGTATCTAGGAACAGAGAAAAATCCCTGTCTCATGTAAACAACAGATAGGCACCGATGTGGTGTTCCAAGCAAGAAGAGGAATGGGTCTTCAAGACAAATTTCTGTAAGAAAGTCACAATTCGTACTCAAAAGAGAACACTTTCTAAGCAACTCTGCCACTGTCAACCAGACTTTCACAAATATTTAGATGCCTAAAAATGCAGATTTCCATGTTTAGTTTAGATGTGAAATGTAAATGCAGATGACTGACTGGCCTTGTCATAATGAACCTCTTAACAATTGAGAGGTGATGGGAAAAACAACCTCTTTGCTTGTATAATAAAAAACATTTACCATTTTGGAACGAGTAAAGCAATGCAATCAGTAGCAATTAGGAACACTGCTGCTGTTGAGAACTCTCCTAGGTGACAAACACTGTTCCTTGCTCAAATCCCTTTACTGATGTATACCTCTCTGCTCCAACTAGCTTAGAAAAATGAGAGTAATTACATGTTTTATAAAATTTCCACATCATTCACACCGGAGTGCCAAAAAGGAGCTAAGCCACTGACATGCAGTGTTATTGTAAGCAAAAGAAAGGAGGAAATGTCAGCAAAACAAAAAATAATAATAATATATCTGTGAATGCTTTTAGGAGGCTCCGTGGGTGAGCAACTGTATAAGCAAAATCAAATCAAACTTGTGCTAAATGGTTATTTATTTTCAAGATACGATGCAAGAAATAAAAGCATCATTCAATTTCCACACAGCAAACCTGTGCTGCTTTCAAGTGCAGCTGCTCTTTTCATGTCAGTTATCAACACAAGGTGTCAAAGAACAGCTCTTTTCACTTGCAGATAATTCTACAAGATTGCTACAGAAGTAGAATTTGACAAAATGAAGGAAACTTTCAGATTCTGCTCCACCCTGAGATTCACTGCACCAAAGAAATCCATTCAATATGTAAAAAACCAAACAAACAAACAAACTAGCAAGGAAGCACAACTGTCCTAGAGGAAACCTCAGGGAATGTTTGAAAGAGGCTGCTTTAACGACTACTCCTTAGAGCTCAGCGTATCTACATCAGTAAATTCAGACCAGATTTACTTATAATCATCACTAGAAATATCTTCCTGAGGAATTTCACACCGTGGCCTTTATCATCATCATCAATGGAGAAACTGGGGCATCACAAGCGACTGGTTCAGCCTTGACAAAAGACAGATACCTGAAGCAATTTGCTTTCAGCTGCTAAGACAGAGCATTGGCTGCTACCTGAGAGCTGGTGCCTAAGGTGGAGTCACATCAGGAGTGGAGTGATCACTGCCACTTCAAGAGTCAATTCTACCTTTCTGTATATGGCTGTGTGTGTACACACATAGAGGGAACAGGGAGATGGAGAGAGAAAATCTATAGTACAACTACAACATTCACAATAAAAATTAACCAAGGCTACCTAGAGTATCAGAAATCCCACAGGTTATGGGACAGTCTCTGCCAAAGAACCAGGAACAGAATCATAGGATCACGGAATCATAGAATCGTAGAATGGTTGTGTTGGAAGGGGCCTCCAAGATCATGGATTTCCAACCCCCCCTTGCTGTGGGCAGGGCTGCCAACCATCAGATCAGACTGTCCAGGGCCCCATCAATCATGTTGTTTCCTGACTGGATGAAGAGGAAAATATTAAAGATCTCTGAAGTCTGCTGGTTTTTGACTGTGGTGTGGAGAAACGTTAGAACAGATAACATCTGGAAGCACCAGTCCATTCTGCAATCTGAATGGATTCATTCTGTGCACAATATTTTCTTGACAGAACTCATTCAAGACAGTATATAAGAAGCACAAGGGACAGGAAAAAACACTGTTTCAGCTTCACTGATTAACATTTGGTTTGGCAGAAGCAAAAAACATCATCTGGACATTGCAGAGAAGAAACGAGAGCAACAATTCTTTGTAGATTTCAGAGCAGCAAGAAGTTAAACAGTACTGCAGTATATCAGACAAAAAGATGCTCTGCTAAAGATGGGAGAGTATTAATCATCACATGCAACCCATTTGTAGACTGACAAGCAATTCCAGAGCTGTGTTCATTCAAACTTGAAAAAGAAAGGAAATTACCAAATGTAAGCACATAGGCAGAAATGTCACAGGTAGTAGAGATCCCTCTATGCTCCTCCTGTTACTCATAATCTTTTTTATATGCAACTACCATGAGCTGTTGGGCAGATGGACCTTCAGTCTGACCAAATGTGGCTGTTCCTGTGTTGACAAGAACAGCAGGATGTGGAGAAATAATTTGCAGAGATACTGTCTGAACAGCAAATAGGACATAAATTTAGTTATGGAGAAACTGAACGTGGCATTGAAACAATTTCTACTCATTAATAATGAGATTCTTAAAGAGATTTTAGAGGATCAGTGGCAAAAAATTAAAATCTTCTATCGTTAAACTGGCATGAGATAAGCTTTGTTCCTGTAAAATATCACTCTGATAGCAGAAGAGTAGATGAGCTGATAGATACATTTTCTCCTTCCCTCGTGTTTATGCCCTGTGTCCCTAATTCCCTCCATACTGGAGTCACAATAAAGATCTATCTGAAATCTGATCTCAAACTCACAACAGCAAAAGCCAAGATTAACTGTGCAAATCACAACTGTAACATCTGTGTATTTATCAGAATAAACAGCAAGACACTGAAAAAAGACAGAGATTTAAGTATACCGTGGCTGCTTTTTCACTTTGCACGTCTCAGTTTCTTTGCAGTTAATGAAATTAGATACAAAGGCACTCACAGATTGATGGATCTCGATAAGATGACGGACACGGTCAGAAGGATGCACCCACAGGGACCAATTTCAAACTGAAAAAGAAAGAACTGTATTTACTTTGTTGCTTGATTCCAATCCTAGAGAAACGTGAATCAAACTGAAAGTGGAAAGAACGGTTTTCAATTATGCTAAAATCGCTTTTCTTTTTTGCTCTACTTGTTAAAATGTGAGATCTGTGCTGGGGAGACACTATTGCTCTCTACAACTGCCTGAAAGGAGGGGGGGATCGGTCTCTTCTCCTGTGTAACTAGCGACACAATGAGAATGAAAGGCCTCAGATTGCACCAGGGGATGTTCAAGTTGGATATTAGGAACAATTTCTTCTCAGAAGGAGTGGTGAGGTACTGGAATGGGCTGCACAGGGAGGTGGTGGAGTCATTGGCCCTGGAGGTGTTCAAGAAATGTTCAGATGTTGCAGTGAGGGACGTGGTTTAGTAGGAACTATTGGTGATTGCTGGATGGTTGGACTGGATGATCTTGGAGATCTTCTCCAACATTGGTGGTTCTATGATTCTGTGGTTCTACCGTCAGTTGGCTGACAGAAACGGTGTTAGAAATTACATTCAGAAGGCATCATGAGATTGTTAAATACATGAAGATTGGCAGCTGAACACGTGATACCTGGTGAATATTCTGCTGAAGAAGTACAATCAGATCCTCATATCTTGTGGCACTATGCAGGATTAGCTGGGAGGAAACAGAAGAAAAAACAAACATCTGAAATAAGAGCAATTCACTTTGAAACACAACAGCTGAGGGGAAGCAGGCAAAACTTCAGATCTGACTAGAAGGTTTGCAACTAACATAAAGTGGTATAAAAATCTAAGGAAGTCTACCTCTTACTGCTGTGACTTGGTTAAATGCTGTATGGTGGTTAAATGCTGCCTCTTGCTGTTTTTAAGTTCTCAAGCCATCAGCTTGCTTCAATTCCATGCAATGCAAAACGATTCTTAGAACAACATGAAGCCTCAGAAGCAGCAAGCAGCCCAGGAGGCTGTTACCCACAGGGTGTGCTGTCTATAGCAGATCTGTATCAGAGCCCTTCTTATTGCTCAGAGAATAAGAGAATACCCCCACGAATACTCAAACATCACATGAACTTCAGGAGAGTTTACAGCTCCCAGCCCTTCCTTCCAAGCTCTTTGTTTTTGCATCTTCCCATTTTGTCAGCAATGATGGATTTATGCAGTAAAGATGAAATGGGGTTGGCAGCCCTGCCCACAGCTGAGGCTGGAGCTCAAGGATCCATAAGGTACCTTCCAACCTAAGCCACTCTGTGATTCCATGGTACGTGGCTGACCATATCCATGGCTATATCTGGAGTTCCCTTTCCACCACTGTTTCACCCTGGCTGTGCCCACATGAGCTTTGATAAGCAGTATTTTGATGCAGCACCACGCTATTATTTGCACTCTGAAATGACCAGCAGCACAAGATCATTTTAATGTATTAAAGAATACTGCTTTTCTTTTGTAAGAGCACATACAGCACATTATTTTGTGCTGCATCAGGTTTTCACTTCCAGTTGTTTCAAAACTGGTTCTGAAATGGAGCTGGTAGCTTTGCTCCTCCATTTAGGCCAGTAATATTTCCTTAAGCCACCGAAGCGTGGCTTGTGTCACCAATGTTTACAAAGCCATTTGAAGGCTTCAGATGGAAACAAAGACACTACTGGAAAGTATTTTGCCATTTGGAGCAACTGGGGGGAAAAAAAAAAAGCAAGGAATTCTGTATAAAACACGAGAAGAAAATACTGTCTCTTGATGTTCAAGGCTGTGCTAGCTGACCTGAAAGGATCCACTTTCAATTTTTAATGCATACCAGCAAAATTAGGCAGAGTTTACAAGCTTGGAAGGTAGACGCACCAAAAAGGACTTCAGAGAGCCCAGCTGTCCCCAGGCAGTGGGATGGTTCAGAGCCAGATAAACTACCAGGTTCTGTGATTTCCTACTGGTTTTTAGATCACAACTGGCTACTGTAATATTAGAGGTTTTAAAACACTTAAGGGATACACAGAAATGGGATTCATTGTACTAAAGCAAGAAAAGCTACAAAAAGGATATAGGGAAAATGTGAGCACGAGTTACACAAAGCCTTACAGTTTCTAAGATTCCATCTGCCTTATATTTTCCTATGGGAGTGAACTGCTGTCTTCCTGACGGCCTAAAGAGAACATGCAAACAAAACCAAAGTTCATGTCAAAAGGACCAAAATCACATTACACAGAAACCAAAACCTTACATGAACTGAATCACAAACCAAAGATTTGGTATTATTACTTCAGTGACTAATTTTTGGCTTTTTTAAAGACAGCCTTATGCAAAATGAGTGCATGTTGGGCATTCCGTGAACTTTTATTGATGAAACATCTTTAGCTGTGCTCCCTCTATTTAATATAAATTACAAGTTTCTCTGTCAAGAAGGAGGATAAATATAGGTTGAAGATATTAACGCCAATTTTTGTTGGGAAGGAATATGAGAGCAGTGACATTAAAAGAGAAGCAGCAGAACAGATGTAGAGTAGCATCAGAGGAAATATTTTATAGGCAGAAAACACTCAAAATATCACTGGAAATGTCTCTGAATTTGCTGGCTTCTGTTTCAGGTTTGAAGAGCTTCAGTGCCCAGAAGCCTCCAGAAGGCTGTCTGCTCTCACTTTACCATCAGTCTTAGTTGTTCTAATAAAATAAATGATCTCTTCTCACAAAATCATAAATATATTGCAGGATTCAGTAACTCCCTTCAGTAGCTATTGGAACAGCAAAAATGGCCTTTTGCATTTCTTCTTCATCCATTTCACGCCGCATGAATACATTTTGAGGACCACAAAACTGATCCCAAGGGATGGAACAATGAAATGAGGAGAGGATGAGAGCTGGGGCTGTGCAGGTGGAGGGGGGAAGGCTGCAGGGAGAGCTGAGAGCAGCCTTCAGTATCTGAAGGGGCTGTAAGAAGGAAGGGGACTGACTCTGTAGGAGGGTCTGTGTGATAGGACAAGGGAAAATGGCTTCAATCTAAAAGAGGGGAGATTTAGGTGGATATAAGGAAGAATTTCATACACTGAGGGCAGTGAGGCACTGCACAGGTTGCACTGAGAGGCGGTGGTGCCCCATCCCTGCAGACACCCACAGTCAAAGGAGCACTGATGGAGCTGTGGGCATCCCTGTGCACTGCAGGGATTTGGACCAGATGCCCTTTAGAGACCCCCATCCAACTCAAACCATTCGATGATGCTGTGATCTTTATGAACTTCCATTTTGTGAACTTTGTCCATACTTAACAGACACAATTATAAGAGCATCACGTAACTGAAGCTGCTTCTCCTACTTACAGTGCCACAACTGCTTTCTCATTGCTTCCTGCACGCCACAAGATGTCTGCAATAGCCATGGTGAGGCATTTGGTCCTGTGAGCTTCTGAGGGCTGGAGACAGCTGTAGTCCAGGAAAAGCAAGAAACAGAAAAAGCACCGAAGTGTGTGTCACAGAGCTTATCATGTGAGGGCAAAGTGCCCCAGCCACAGCATGCACAGGTTTACAACAGGTTTTTAGCAATTGATATATGAAGAAAAGCACTTTTTTAGAGACCATCCAGATGTTGTAATGCTAATGCTAATGAGGATCTAGCAAGCTGCCTTGGAAAATTGTCATCTAAGTATTTCAATTGCTTCTATCGCCAAGATCGTTGTAAACAGCTCCAAGTTCTAAATTCCAAAAATCCTTTGAGTTGAACAGCAAGCCACTGCAGTTCCTGAGAAGACACACCAGGAGCAGCTGCATCCCACCCTTAGGGCTCAATCATCTGTATGAGATGCCACGAGAGCACTCCCTGTGCATGCAGCAGCACAACTAGCTAGCAGTGGACTGGGCTTGGTGCTGCCATTCAGCTCCTCAAGGCCTCTAAGGAGGGAGATGCAACTCTATTAGGATTGTTTTATACATTAATATCTGAATTCTAGGTCTTCATATTTAATCACATCCTTGACCTTTGACTTCTTAACTATCGTCTTCAAATCTGCACTGTGGAGTTCCCACCTACTACTAAAACTTAACTACAATGCCATTCACAATAAACACTGTGCTTTGCAGAAATGGATTTTTCTCTGCTGACTTCCAGAATGGCCATTCTTGAAATTCAGATATTATCAGTCCCAGGGTTTTACGAGGATGAGAGATGATGTCAGAATCCGTTCCCAGCACGTGAGTAAAAAGATCCAGTAATGAAAGGAACGTACAAGAAACACCAAACAAACAAACAAACAAAAAAAAACAACCATCTTTTCAAGCCTGAATATGATGTTCATTTAGAAAATATTTCCATATCTGAAGGATGTGAGATTTGGGAAATAATGACAGTGATGGTTTTCAAGCAAAAAAATAAATCACCATTTTCTATTATTTCAGCCTGTGTTCTGGCACAGACATCCAAAATATGGAAAGCATAGGAAGTTATTTCAACTCAATCCATTTATAATTGATTTGTAGCAGAAGAGGCAGCAGAATAATAAGGATGTGTGGTAATTACCTCCTGAACCACGAAGAACTCTCAAGTGAAACACTCACCTTGAAGCAGCCAATACTTCGAAAATCATAGAATCATAGAATCATCAAGGATGGAAAATGTAGGTTAGAATTAGAAAGGAATGTAGATCCTCTGATTTCAAGCTCTGAGTTTGCCCTGTCTTTCTGCCTGCCTAAGAGTTTCTGCCCATGGCAAACTCATCATAAGGAAGATCTGTTTATCCCCTGAATAAAACAGCCTGCCTTGCTATTCATTTTTAAGACCTGGAGACTTTTAGCATTTCTGCACACCAAGACCAAGATCTCAGCTGCCAACTCGAAGTCCCTTGGGGACTTTCATCATACCTCAGCAGCATTTTTCATATACCAAATATGTAAAAACAAAGTACTTTAAAACCACGTGCGTAACAAGAGGAAAGAAAAAAGGGAGGCAAATATTGCCAAGTACACAGGGCAGGTTGTAGCTGGGACACTCATGGTCAAATAAAGCAATCTAGCTTCAGCCCACTTATCTGGGTGCTACACGATTCTCCAGCATCTAACATCACTTTGTTGTGATGAAAGAGCAAACAGTGAACAGCTCTCAGGGTGTTACTGAGGGCAGTTTGAGGCTCAGGCAGATCAAGGAGCAGATGCCCTCCAAACTGAAATGAACTCTTAACTATCAGAAATACAGTACTGGCGTGGCTTTTAATGCATTTGGGAAGCAATGCTGGTTAATTTAAAAAGCATGCTCTGTTAGATGAATTACAGAAAAGTGTGATGTTCTGAAAGAAATGACTGGAAGAATAAAGAATTGAACTATGTAACACCATAGAACTAAGCCAACGTAGGGTCAGCTAACCTAAGCCTAGCCATGAGCTGACATAACCCTCTGCTCATGCATTATACCATTGACTCAATGGGTTTACCAGTGTAACTAACTTGAGGTGGGCTCCAGAAACAGGTGATCTTCAGGTGATTAATTCACAGTATCTCATTCATTTGGACCTTTGTTTGGGGGTCTGAAAGCAATCAGAGCCATTATTACCCAGCAACAACAATACTAACAGTCATAGTCCCTTCCAACTCAGTCATTCTATGATTCTATGATAGTAAATGTTTTATTCTAAGTCTGTAAGTCTGGTTTTTAATGTCTCCAATGCCTTACTAAGCATCTCACTGCAGGTCTGCCTGCCCACGACCACTCCTGGGTTTGGAAACCTGTGCAGACCCCTCAGGCCCCAATAAAGCTTTGATTAATTGTCACCTCCCATCCCATGTGCTTGCAGAGAGATGATGACAAATGCACCCATTTCTTTCCATTATTGATGAACTCAGCCCAAACAGCTAACTCATATTGACGTGAAAGATCAAACAAGAAGAAAAGAGAAAGCTCTAACTCTTAAATTCCACCCTTCTTGAGATTCTTGGTGTCAAAAATTGTATGAATTCCATGGTCTTCCAAATCCTGATTGCATTTGCTTTGAAATCATAACGCCATGGAATCTCGAGGTGCAATGACACCACTACACTTAGAAGAAAACTAAATACAAAATTCATACTCTACTTTCTTTCTCTACCAGAGATAAAGTAAAGCTCTGTGAAGTCCAAACTCCAAAAGGTTCCTGAGGGGCTGCAACACAAAATTCTCCTACGCTTCTGTATGGAAATTACTTGTGTCAGTTGCTGACTTACCGAGCATCCTTATTCCTGTTACTGTCTCCAAAGATAAGCTGCTGTAGAACACAAGCTTGAACTGCTGCCAGTACTCCACATGGGCCACCCTGAGAGGAACAATTGGACACTCCATTAACAAAACACTTTGCCTTGTTTGACGCCGGACAAAACTAGTCTGCAAGCCAAGTGATTCCTTTCAGGCTTCATCCATCCTTTAATCTCTCTCTTTCCATCCATGATTTTGCAATGCTCTCTGTTGCTCTCTGTTTTTTGCAAGCCACTGAAAATCAGAATTACTGACTGGTAGTGTGCTTCACATCCATTTTCCCAGAATATACCTAGAACTTGCCACACTGGCATGGGTCAGTGGGTAGTATGGGTGGTAGGTGGATGGTTGGACTAGATGGGCTTAGAGGTCTTTTCTCTCTCCCCCTCTTCATCAGGGGGAAATTCTTTACCCAGAGAGTAGTGAGGTACTGGAACAGGCTGCCCAGAGAGGTTGTGGATGCCCCGTCCTTGGAGGTGTTCAAGGCCAGGTTGGTTGGGGCCCTGGGCAGCCTGGTTTAGCATTAAACGTGGAGGTTGGTGGCCCTGCATGTGGCAGGGGGTTGGAGATTCGTGATCCTTGAGGTCCCTTCCAACCCTGGCCATTCTGTGATGCTGTGATTCTGTCTTTTCCAACCTTAACAATTCTGTGATTCTATACGATTCTGTAATATCAAAGTCAGTATAATGTCAAAGAGAATATTTTAGTGAGAACTATTGGTGATAGGTGGATAGTTGGACTGGATGATCTTGTAGGTCTTTTCCAACCTTGGTGATTCTATGATTCTGCGAAAGGAAAGTTGCTTTTTTAAGCCTGCTCTGTGCTCATGCAAACAAACAAAAGATGCTCCAATCCCTATGAGATAAGAACTACCTTCATTTCTAGAGAAATAACAAACTTGACTTTTCTGAAGGACAGAATTTAACCTTGCCCTTTAAATTCCTCTCAGCACCATGCCTTCCCTCAAATTCCCTCTTCTATCATTAATGAAAGATTTCAGTTTTATGTATACCTCTCTGCACTGGGAAGTTATTCCACTGCAGAAGGGAGAAAATAAGGGAAACTTGAATCCTCAGATCCTTTATGTTGCAAATATCACAATACCAACACGTATCATATTAACATTGAATGTAGTGGAAAACAGATTAATGGCTGCTGTAAGAGACTGTGGGATGGCATAGCATTGAATTTCCTTCTCCTCCTTTATTCCCAACCACCCAGCCCATCTGATTCCACTGAATGACCAAGACTCATTTCTGTGTGTTAACTAGGTGGCAATTTTGCACCACCTCTGATTTCCTTGAGTGAGAGAATGGTTGTGGTTGGAAGGGACCGGAATGGGATCGACCTTTTATATGGTCTGATAGTGATAGGACAAGGGGAAATGGATTTAAACTAAAAGAAGGGAGATTTAGCTGAGATGTGAGGGGGGAATTCTTTACTCAGAGTGTGGTGTGGCAGTGGATGCCCCAGCCCTGGAGGTTCTCAAGGCCAGGATGGATGGGGCCCTGGGCACCTGATCTGGTTGGCAACCAGACCATGTCAGAAGGGTTGGAACTAGATGACAATGAAGGTTCCCTCCAACCTAAGCCATTCTGTGATTCTATAATCTTCAGTAGATTCCTTCCATCTCAGATCTCCTAGCAGACTCTCCAAGGTAACATCATCCAGTGGAAAGCAGTAACACCAAGGAAAGCAAAGACTTATTTTTTCACTGCTAAAACACTGTAAACTTCATGTAAAAAGCAAAGATCCCCCCCTTTTTTTTTAAGAAGCTCACTTACAGTACCTTTTTTTGTACAATGCCATATTTTAACTGAGGTATGTTATTAAATGTAAAACTCTGTATTTTCCATTCTTCACTGAAGCAACAAAGACTGGAGCCAAACAGAAGATTTTTTAATTCCTATTAAAAAAAAAAAAGAAGATGTATGATTTTAAAAGTAAATAACATATATACATACTCCAATGTTTTCTAGCAGTCATTTGTAGAAAGAAAGGCAGAGTGTGGCAGGGTAATGACTAACTCACTATAGCCACCCTTTTCTCTTTTATACTTACTGTAAATAGCAACACCCAAATGGGACGGAACAATTTTTTCCTTTTCCTGCAATATTACTTCAACTCATAATGCCATGTATTGCTCAGCACTAGGAAACTGTCTAGGCAGATTGGCTGGAGCAGTTTCCCATGGAAGCATTACAAAATAGTGCCTCAAAGCTGCAGCAAAAGGGCGATGGCTACTCATGGCTGGCAAAAGTGAGAAGAGGATCCTGCTGGACACAGAAAAGGCAGAAGCCTATTTTGCTTGTCAAAGTTGCTGGTATAAGACAAATGTTCAGAGATTCACCTATGTCTGCTGGCAAAATTCAAATTCAGATCTTGACCCTGAGTGACTGCAGACTCTGCTACTAAGGAATAGCTAAGCTGAAGAATTGCTTTCAGCCTAAAGTAAGGCTGAGCAAATAAGGACTGACTGCTCAGGGTTTGCACCATCACTTCGATAGGTCTTTGACAGAGAATTAAGTCAGAAGAAATCCTCATTATCTTTTCTCCGTGGCTTTTTTAATGATTTTTTTTTTTTTTTTTTGTCTGAATTGGAAGTAAAAATTAAAAGCACTTAATATTTACATCTCTGCTCGAAGCAAGGAAGGTGAGCGAAGGAGAAGCAGTGGTGAATCAGTCAATATGAGGACAGGTAGACAAGCACATGCAAAACTGACAAGAGCTATTAATAAAATAATGTGTGCTTCTTCACTTAAAGCCCTAATCTGTGGTTCAAGCAGCTGATAATTTCCCACATGCTCTTCTGGTATTTTTCTGAATTCTGTTTGGTGTCCCTACATTACCTTTACATATGAATCCCAAATAAGGACGATGTACAAGAGTATGCACAGCAAGAGTTAAAGCACAAACAAACACACAACACAGAACAATCCATTGCTGCTCTGACTGAACAGAAATGACCATTTCACACTTCCATTTCTATGTACCATCATAGCCTTACTTTTGCAAGAGAAATATCGATCGCCTTTGACGCTTCTTGAAGTACGTGCAGTGCTGAAAGATTCAGGTTCCTACTGACTTCTCCAGTTGTTGCTTCATCCTCAACATCAACTGAAAGTAAAGAAAGAACATAGAAGGAGTTGGAGGAAAAAAAAGGTATGTTTGCTCCCACCAGTAGGGGAAATGATAGACTTAAAAAATAAATAAGGCAAGGCTGAATGGGGCTTTGATCAACCTTGTCTGGTGGGAGGTGTCCCTGCCCATAGCACTGAGGTTGAAACAAGATGTTCTCTAAGGTCCCTTCCAGCCCAAATCACTTCATAATTCTATGATAAGCCATCTTTTCTTTGATTATTTCTAAATAATTTCTTCACAGTCTCACCAGAGAATAGCAAATGCAATTACTCCAAATCAACTAAGCATCGCCAAAGAAAAGATTCAAACATCTGTGACCACAGTTTCTCTATAGAATATGTTGGTGAAAGCCAAACTGACTCTGAGCAAACTTACCTAATTCTAGGGTATCTTTCATCTGCTCTTCTTTATTCCAAGTGGATGTTGGGGACTTCCTACATTAAAATAATCGAAAAACAAATAAGTGAATGCTTGCTTTAATGAGAATTGTTTCTTGAATAAATGAGAAAAAAAAAGTGCTAAAATCAGGCAAAAATAAAAATATATAAAATTATTCAATGGCTTTTATCTTAGGTTTTCATGCGTTCTGTGTAGAAGAGCACAGATTTATCAACATCTGTGTCCAAATAAATGGTGTTAGAACAAAAATTTTTTTACTGGAAAAGAGCTGAACTTGAGGAGTTCATCTGGAAAGGCAGCCTGCAAGGAGCAGCACAATGCAAATAGTCCAGGATTTCAGTCCTACCTCAATGCTGACTTAATTTCACCTGTATGATTTCAGTAGAGGTCAGACCTTGCCTGCTCATCAACAGAAGCAGATAAGTACAGCCCTCAATTTAGAATCATAGAATCAAAGAATCATCAAGGTTGGAAAAGACCTACAAGATCATCCAGTCCAACCATTCACCTATTCCCAATAGCTCCTACTAAACCACGTCCCTCAACACAACATCCAGCCTTTCCTTGAATTTTGTGTGGGAATTCAAGTACGTAGGACTACCTGAGTTCAGAAGGTTATGACATGAGCTAATATCCCTGATGGGGACCAGGATGAGGTTGAAACTGGTTATTAAGCTACTTTAGATATCCAAAACATGCAAGTGAGAATCAGTGTTCGATTAGATGCCTCTACCAGGGTAATTTTTCATCCACTCATAGGTAACAGTTGCTCAAAAGGGACGTGGTTTAGTGGGAATCTTGGTGGTCAGTGGATGGTTGGGCAGATGATCTCAGAGGTCTTTTCCAAACTTGGTGATTCTACAACTCTATAGAATCATCATAGAATCACAGAATCACCAAGGTTGGAAAAGACCTAAAAGCTCATCCAGTCCAACCGTTCACCTGTCACCAATAGCTCCCACTAAACCACGTCCCCCAACACAGCATCCAAATGATTCTATGATTCTATAATTCTACTACATGATCTTGTTTTAATTTCTCTATTACACAAATGACAAGTTAAAACTTCACAAACAGAAAAACTGAAGGGACTAAGCAGTTCAGCTTGGCTGTGAAAACAGAAGTTAAATAGAAAGTTGTATTTTGAGAGGCGAGATGGGTTTCCTCTTCCTGTGGAATTCGTACCAAAATGAATTCAGAACTCAGGAAAAGTTTCAAATAACTGCTGTAAAAAGATGATCTTTTTTTTTTTTTCACAGTACCAGCACTGTACCACTGGCCTTTGCTTTGGAAAAAATGGTATTGCACTGACAGACCTTTCAGAAATAGTATGGGATAATTTCCTCAGCAACATCCTTTGTGTGCATGATATTATTATAGCAACAACTGCTGTCATATCACATACTTTCCATTAACTTAATTTCCTTTTTCAGTATGTGAAAAATGAATGAAAACAGAACACACACACATATCACACTCAAGATTCTTTCAGTTTAAGATCTTTTTGGTACATTGGCAGTCTTTGATATTGAAATAATAGAAACGCCTTTCTTTCTGTGTATATACACGATAAAAAGGATTTCATGTGCACATCCACAATTAAGAAAATACAGAACACAAATGAAAACCACCACATTACTAAGGATTCAAGGTAAAAATAACTCAGATGTCTAACAGGTAAGCATAGACAAGAGAACCTAGAGCAAACACATACAGTGCTATTTGTACTGGATTCCCACTGAACAAACAGGACTTTTTGCTATACTGGATTCCAACTCAGACTTCTTTCTCTCACTTGCTGTTTTATTTTCATCTCTCCTGGTCAGAGGAGTCTCAATGACACTAAATTTGCAAATAAACTGTTTTTCAGCCAAGTACTGATGCCACTGAGCTGCACTTAGACTCAAACAGAATCCACATTCTTGTTTTGTCTGAGTTTGCAAACCATTGTCTCTTGTTTCCTAGAGAATAATGTGTTTCCTCCTAGGTCAACCCATTTGGATCTGGTTTTCAAAACAGAGCTATTAATGCTAAAGAATATAGCACTATCATTTACAGCTATTGACCAGGTCTGGAAGGAGACAGGATTTAGAACACACTGTTTCTAGTTTCCATGTTTCCTAACATGGCTCTGACCCACGCCATCCAAGATTCTCCCAAGCAGTGCCCAAAGAGAGCTCACAGAATGGCATGCTGCCATTTAACAGCAGGACTGGCTCTACCAAAACCAGCCCAGGAGGCTTCATGTCCTCAAACATCCCACCATGCCATACTGCCCTTTATTTTCACTTTACAGAAGCACTCCACCCGAGGATGCATCAACAAATTGACATTATTTCAGAGCCAATTCTCTCCAGCTTAACAAAGCAGCTCAAAAAAAAAGGAAACAAAATTATATTTGACAGCCACAACAGCAGACCTGGAAGAGATCTAAAGTCAAATGCTACGTAATACGAATACAGCCCAGATACAGCAAGAAGAGTCAAAGCCAGAGAGCTGTACCTGGATCTGTTTATCTGTTTCACTTAGCAGCACAGATTTAAGTACAGAATTTCAGGACAGAAGGAGGCCAAGCAAGGTGTGGTTAATTATCCTTTTCCATCAGGAGCCCATTCCCACTACATCAACACTACGATCGAGGAAGTCAATGAGTTCTCAGAAGTTATCAGTCTCCATTTATATTTTACTGCACTTTGCTATATAGAAAGCTCAGGATTTAAATACGAATTTAGTCTTGGGTGTTGAAAACAAGTGCTGATGTTGTCTGGCAATCACAAATACAAGGACAGGATCTACCTTTTAGTGCTCTTGCTTCTCCTACATATTCTTACATATTTGTCCCTCAGCTCTCTGTCATTTTGATGGTACTGAGCTCCCTAAAGCACAGATATCCCACTTCATACATGGAAAAAATTGAGGCTGATCAACTTGAGAGGATGATTTTCACAGCATTAGCTGAAGCAAATCAGCCTAGGTGTTGCTATAATTATCCTGTCACCGTTCAAAAGAGTCACAAGCAACTTACACATCTTTCTGCAAACTTAAACCCTGGCACATTAAGCAGTTCATAGGAGGACATCACGTCAATACCCACGTGCTTGAAACAGACAGTGTTTAGATCTGAGTGATTGTCACAACATCACAAAGGGCACGGGATTCAATTTGCAGATTATTAACCTAAATTTAGTTGCCTGCATAGTTGGGTGTCAACATTCCCATGGCAATTGATTCATGGCTGAGTCAGCACTCAGGAGGCTCAAGCCAAGAGGTTCAAAGGCCTTTCAGACAACTAAGTGTATGTGCAACAAGTAGGAACTCAGGCATCTGGATTTACATAAGGTCCCTTAGGTACCTCATCCTACCTGGCCTCAACAGCTGCTTCAGCAGGACTTGGGTTTTCTGCCAGCATCATCAGATGTCTTGGGTAGCTCAGAATCCCAAAGGGCACTAAATGCATATGTTTAAGCATATCTAGAATTGCTGACATTAAGTTGGCATTCTTGATTAATTTTTGTCCCAAGCACTTCTCACTCGCGTTTCATCCGAAAGATGCGTAAATGAAAATAAAGCTGACTATGGCTCAAGGACCATTTTTGGTAACACTGCTGCTTTCTGGTGAGGATAAGAGACGTTGGTTATACACCCGTTCCTGGAAGAACCAAGCCCTGAATGCAAAGTGCTTTGATTTCTCAAGGCAGAAGGAAATTCCTATCAGGCTGAGGAAAGCGCTGACATCAAAGATGTCGGGTGTTTTCTGGTTAAGTGGGGTATTTTTGCAGATGGAGGTTAGTCAAAAGTTCTCTCCTTAAGGTTTCTCAAAACACTGTCGGGACATTTATTGCAATTTCCATTTCAGCAGATGGTTACAGCTCCAGGAAAATTTATTGTACACGTAAAAGCGTACAGTTAGAATGCTTAGGAAGTCGTCTGCCAGGGCAGAAAAATGGGACAGGAAGAAAATATGTTTCATTATAAACATCCTATACAGTACTTTCTCTAAATATTTGAACATTCCTATCTGATTTTCGGGTATGGTAGAAAACAATTTACACAGAAGAGCTGAACATGCAGAAAAAGCAGTTATCTTCACAATAAAGTATCTGCATTCCACTGCTTCCTATTTAGATTACTGTATGTATAGGTAAAGAAACAAACTGGCTTAAAATAAAAACATTGATTACCAGTAGCTTTAAGGCTTCTGTGTTGGGAAAACTTGTTTCCACTGCTCGATGAGAACAGCTTTTTCTACTGGACACGTTGCCTTTACTGCATGGCAATTTACAGTGCCAGAAGGATGCCTGGAAGTCACAGCTATACTGCCCTGTGCACTACACTTCAACCAAAGTATAGAAAAAGTAGGATAATGAAAGTGTGGCTTGACCATTCACACACCCATCAAAGATTTCTTGGCATGGCAGCCCCACACAGCATTATAAAGGCACACAACAACACATTTTAACTGATCATTACAACCCACCAGATCAAACAGCTGCAAAATAAACACTTATCCGTGAAACAAGAGGGCTAAAATTCCTTTAAATACAGATGATCCAAGACATCAGCAAAGAGATACAACACAAAGCACAGAGATGGGCTCCCAGCGCTCCACACTCAATTAATTCACACCACTGGAGGTGAGTACCATTCAGTTTGCCCTATGAAGCACACATTCCTTTTGCTTTTGGCCTTCAACTTTCAGGCCATTTAGTTTTAAAGATGCGGAAAGTTCTCGGCCTTCCATTTCATGTTAGAAACCTTCCATTTTTAGGAGTAAACTGACAGACTTCAGCAAAATAAACTCTCTTCCTGAAAGCTGATATCAGATGTCAACTGGAAGAAGACAACAGCTTGCACTGAAGGCTGGACTTCATCTTAGAACTCATTTTACTATGAAAACTCAAACATAGAGAACAGCCTACTGGCAAACGCGTGCACTGTCCTACTACAGCAATCTTAGGGGAGTAATGCAGAGGTGAAAACAAATTCCTTCTGCTTCTTGCAATCAGTGGTGTTGTTTTTAAGGAGGAGGAAATTC